ACGATAACTACTACGACAAACTTGCTGTTTTTTTGTTAAAGAATTTAGTTCGTAGTAATGCTGAGCTCATCTTGGCAGGTGATTTCAACTCTGATCCTGTTCTCCATCCAAAGTTGTATCATCAGCGATATGAACTCACCGCTCTTTTTCATCTGTCTCCATCCACAAATTCATCAACAACCCGTGGAGGAACGTGATTGGGAAGATCTTAAAGCATCGCTCTATCTTTCATGTTTAAATTTCACAAACACTGACGTCGTAAATTTGGCCTTAATGAATCTTCACCATCATGTAAACAAAAACATTCAGAATTTGGTGTCCGTAAAGGTTGGGAGAACAAAACATAGACTCTTTTTCTCTCTAAGTAAACATTGCTACATATTGAGGCGACAGCCGTTTCTTAATTTTGAAAGGTAAGATGTCAATATGTTGTTGTTTTTTTATCGATAAATAGCCTAAAATAACCAAAAGTGTCCTCATCGAACAACGAGCCAAGCGAGACTTTGATTTTGAGTAATTTAGACGTGCTATCCGATTTTCATGGAGCCATAGGACTGACACCGGGTGACTTGGAGTAACATTGAAAGCGCAAGAGATATACATAGTCGACCATGCTGAATCTGATGGTAACGTTTATTTTCGAAAAGTAAAAGACCTATTGCAAATTGCTGAGATTAGAGACCTACACTTTGCAGCAAAGTTCATGGGCACTAACTAAATATCCTCTCCTAAATATCCGCTGCGATAAAGGGCTAAACTGAGAGGATTGAGAGAGTTGAAAAGTTGGATCACATATATTTCGGAGAGAATTGGAGAACTTGAACTTTATACTGTACAGGGTAGCGCCATTTCATTAATGTGAGTTATCCAGGTGAGATTATACGATAGGCATAATTCCAATAGTTTGGGATGATTTTCGTATTCGAGGACTTTACCATTAACAAATAAGGAGAGTTGACGTAAAGTAGATTCACAAAACGTGAAGTAGATGTAGAGGCAGTTTTTGACATTGGGACTCATCTCGTTTTCAAACACCAAGAAAGAACGTTATCTATCTCTTTTTGTACAGACTTCTCTATGAATGGAGTCAGATCGGTGCGAGAAAAGTGTAAAACAACATATAGGTCGTCTGCAAACAGGCTGTATACAACTACCGAGGAAGCGACAGATGTAAGATCATTTATAAAAATCAAGAATAAACTAGGGTCAAGTATCGAATCTTGGGGCACTCCAGAGCTCACATGAATTAGGTTTGAAAGAACATTGTCGATCTTAACACACTGGGATCGATCAGCTATATAGGAGGTAAACCATTTATGCAGTTGACCATTTATTCCTACAGATTCTAGCTTTTTCAATAAAGTACTATGTGACACCTTGTCAAAGGCTTTGCACAGATCAAAACTTAAGCCAATAGAGTGACCCTTCTCATTTAAGTTATCGTATAATGATTTTGTTACGTAAAGTAGAGCACCAGTAGTCGAACTCGATGGTCTAAAACCAAACTGAGTGGAGCATAAAATACGATTATCCAGAAGAAAAGCTAAAAGCCGTTTATGAACCACCTTCTCAAAAATCTTGCGTTTTTCTTGTGCACTGGGCGAATTGGAGGATTGAAAGATTGAGAGGATTGAAAAGTTGCTAGCCATTTTTAACTTGACTTGCGCAGCTCTGTCCTGTATAACAAAGGAAAATGAGCGCACCCATACTTCATTGTCGATCAGAAGTTTGGATTAAACTAGAGAAACGTTTGTGAAAGGATGGAAGTAATACTAGTCCATTCGAGTGTTTTCCCTGTTTTGTTTTATTAAAAGAAGATGTATACCTGTAATGTGCTTTTAAAATTTCTGAGGAAAATTAAATATAATTATCTGACTCATCTACGAAGTTTTCCTTATCATATTCTAGTAACAGTATCTAAAGTTATTCTGTCATCTTTCGGTCTTATGAGTACCTATCTACTGCATGGAAGCATATGCATATGCAAGCATATATTCTCCTGTGCTCTTATTGGTTCTGGTACGTGTGTCTGCTTAATTTCTTACTCAACATCTGTTTGAGACACCGATCCCTAAAGTGTGGTATTACAGAGGTTTTGTGTAACTAAAATAGTTTCAACTTTGCTAGTCTATCTATTCTGAACCAATTGGCTCTCAACCGATACCTGCTGAATCATGCTTTATGTTACTTCCACGAATAGCACCAGTTACTGCAAGTGCAACGTAGTACTGAGCGCTTTGAAGTCTCTTAATATTTATTTCTAATCTGTTTCCATTTATGATGTCAGCATAAGTGAAACAGAGCATTATGAATGAATCTTAAATTATATTTAAAGCTTTCTTAGTTAAAATTCTGCTAAATAGTTTTAGTAGACCAACAAGTTTGTTTAGTTTTACTGATATATAATTAATGTGTTCATTCCAGTCTAATTTATTTATTGTAATTAAACCTAAATGCTTGTGAACTTGTTAGTTTTCAACGTGTTATTCGAAATCAGCGCGAAAAGCTGCAGGGAATGATGCATGTTTGTGTGTGATCTTAGATAAAAAGCTTCCTTCAATCTTCTAAAACGAAGAAGACCGTTAGCTGGCCACGCTATGACAGAATTAGACTAAGTAACTGAAATATTGTTATGAACTTAAATTTAGGATATCAAATTATTGACATATTTTGTATTTTCTTTAATTCGTTATAAAGATAAACATGGTCACTCTGGCTCGCTGATGTTATTTGAATAACAAATAAAGAACTTGAATACAACTCAGTTATGGTGTATTTGTAAAAATAATGTCTATCATGCTCACATTTGTTATGAAGTCATTTTACCTATTATTTTAACAGTGGAGAAAACAGTTGAAATACATTATTTTTCGTCTCTTATTCAATTTTCAATAAAAACTGTGATCATCGCTCTAAGTAATGTCGACGCGAGGAATTTGTGTGTGATATCGAACAGACTCCGAAGAGACTAGTTTTTGAGGTAGATTCTGGGCGTAACGAAGGACAGAATTGGTTACAGAAAGCCGATCACAGTCCTTAAATAGTGTTAGAAACTATCGAATGAAGCATGGTTTTTCTACATTAAATATTTTTAGAGCAGTAGAACTACAAAGTCACCCAGATAGGTCACACTTTTCCTTTATTACCGTCATCTAGTATATGTTTGATTTCCAGTGATATTAAAAGAACTTCCAGCAGGCATAGCGCATGAGACTAACATAAGAGTTGTAGCGATCTTTTTTCACGACAGAACCTAAAACAGTTGTTAAAACTATGTCTTTAGGGTGTTAACAACTGCGACACTTATACCATGACACACTCTTTTGCGGTGCAGTTTTCTCACATGAACTGCGACACATTATTTTTTACTGTGTACGATAATTGGAATGCGATAGATCGATACATGCGTGACCTAAAAGAGCATGATGCGCCGGTTTCTCATGCTATTTTCATATGTTTAGTATAACGAGGGAACTTCCCCAGATGCCCCCGCCGATTTTAATGATTTTTTTGTCTGTAGGTAGACCTTAGCGAGACTAGAAGAAGCCTAAAAGGATGTGAGTTCCTGCACCTTCGTTCCCAACGTATCATAATTTTTAGTCAGTTTTCTGGTGGATTATGGGTATTTTCAGCAAAGCACGTTTTTGCATTTCGACTTAAAACTTTGCACACTTGAAGGCCTCGGTTAGTGTAACTTATAGAAAAGTTTTCATAACTGTCAGACATTGCATCTTCGAGATATGAATTTTTCAAAATAAAGGCACTTTCTAACAGAATTGCAAAAGGCGGGGATATTTTGAAAAATTCATATCTCGAAGATGCAATGTCTGACAATTATGAAAACTTTTCTATGAATTACTCTAACCGAGGGCTTCAAATGTGCAAAGTTTCAAGTCGAAATGCGAAAACTTGATTTTGCTGAAAATACCCATAATCCACTAGAAAACGGACTAAAAATGTGATACCTGGGAATGCAAGAACTTAAATCCTTTAGGCTTCTTCTAGTCTCACTACAGCCTACATACATGCAAAAAATCATTGAAATCGAAGGGGACCAGCTCGGCAGGTTCCCTGGTAAGCAAAGAAATATACTTATGCTGAAGTTTTATTACGATACTACCACAAAACAAAAAATGAAAGAAGTAGATACCTTGTACGATCATCATCAATAACATAAAAAAGCAGTTAAGCAAAGACGATACGCAAGAAAGAAAGACCATGAGAGAAAAGTCATTAGCCTATCTTATGTAGGAAGAGCAGAAAAGAAGAGGAGAAAAGAAGAAAAAAGAATCAGTACTGGTAAAAAGACATTGACTAACTATAAGAAATGGTATCTGAAAATCATTCTGTAATTTAGCTACGTGGTGAGTGCATTAATTTTGTACTAAGAGCACAATTTGATACTGTATCTTAGTTATGATTGTACATCACATATTCATTCGACTCACAGATATTTCTAGGCAGCTATGTCTAGATTTATATGATCTAATAGGGACAAAAATTTAAAAGAGAACGCAATTAAATTGAAAAGACAACGTTTTGAATTTTTCGGAGAACGCAAATAAATAGGGATAGAAAAGAGAACGTATTTTGAATTAAAAATATTTAATTTTTACTATTTTCTCAGTTACTAAACACATCACTATACGGTTTCTGTGGTGTAGTGGTACACTGTGTGTCATGATATGCATATAGTGCTGGTTCGATTCTAGTTAGAAACCACGTAATTTTTTTCGTTTTTATGCACACATTGCTTTTCTTTTTTGGAATAAAATTTTGGAAAAATTGATATATTGTACTTACGGCCGTTTTGTACTAAAGCACACTGATAACCAAATAAGTAATCATAAAATAATGAATAATCATATAAGGCAATAGCAAAAAAACTGACTGACCAACATTCATATAAATATCGAGCCCAACTATATCTTTCACTAACTTTTTCACTTTATATCGAAAAATGACAAGAAGAGTTTGGCCTTTTGCTGAAAATTGTTTCAATGCTTCAAGACTGGTCTCATCAATCAGTTAATAATGGTTTCACCACATACCCAAGTATTGATACAGCAGCTGAAGCTCAAGCATGGAAATGGTTGCAAGGTCTTGATAAAAATGCTGTTATACATTGTTATCAACATAGTTATGCTATTCCTTCATCACATCCAAATAAAATGAATGCAAACGTATGGCTTCAACAATATACAACAATGTCATGGCAAACATTTGATGAATTTTTATCATGGTTATATTCTGGACGGTTAGTTACAATACCAATGATGTGTTCATGTAAAACAAATTTAAAATCATATGTATGTAAACATGCTCTTGGCATGATGATTCATTTAGGCTATTATTTTGTTCAAGACCTCTCTTAGTCGTTAGTCTAACGTTGGTCACTAACGTGACGTTCTCTTTTCTATCTCAATTAATTTGCGTTCTCCGAAAAATTCAAAACGTTGTCTTTTCAATCTAATTGCGTTCTCTTTTAAATATTTTCCCATCTAATAGCTGTTAAATTTTGCCATGCTCAGTTTATGACCTATGTCAACTTGTGTGGGAATCCATATTTCTCTTGAAAAGAAACCGTGCGAAATCGTGTGAAAAAAAAGTCGAAAAACTCCTTTTTCCTCGAAAATTTTGCCAAAAGAAACGAATGTTATTATTCCAAAGGATTTTTTTGGAAAGTTCTGAACGAGCTGTTTGATAGACCTAAAACCGTTGTATGTATTGGACAAAGTCAAGGCTACAACTAGTAGGTACCATATACTCTGGACTCGAGAGCAAATGAAAATGATCCAAAAAGGTGTATTTCTGATTATCATAAACCGGTGAAAAATCCAGTAGGAATCCGCTATTTTTTACTCAAACTAAAGCTCCCACCATGCTTCTTGGAGCATGAAGCAGGTCTCTAGCACTTATTATTTCTTCACAGTTGTCCTAGCGGTGGGACCTACCTTGCGAAAAGCGCGCGTTCCTGACGTGCCTCCTCAAAACTACAAGGTTACCTTTTGAGATGTTGTTATTCCACATATATGTGGACCGAATTTCGTACAATACTTTTTTGAGGCTGCAATTCTCATATAGAAAAGTTTCTTAACTTCTGATACCGAATATATTCAGATAAAGTTTCTGAATTCGCAACTGAGAAAAGCACTAACAGACTAAACTTTTGCTTTTAACTATTGAGGCGTTTTCTTATTTTCGTAAAAAAAGATAAAACAAAAAAATAATTCTGAATTAAAATTATAATAAGCACTGTCCAACAATACTAGATCAATACTGATCTTTTTTTTCCAAAATAATTTGTCTCTGAGAAACAAGAGGTACGCTGGATATCTGGCGTCTGCAGATCATTGTTGGTTGTTTTGATCTTGCTTTCATACTACTTGAACGATCCAAGCAAACAAAAAGACCAAATTTTAGCCAGATTCTCATCAAGCGCATTAGATTCGTCGTTCTAAGCTTTACGTTCTGGTGTAAATTACCTATTTTCAAGTTAGACGCTTAAGAGCGGCATCGCAAACAATATTTCTGCCTGGAAATAAATATTTTCGGTCGATTTTTCAAACTCATTATGTACATAGAACTATATTTTTCGAAAAGTAATTATATTTTCTGAAAGCGCTCGGAATTCTCTATCTCCCTTTATATTTATGTCTTATTTGCTGACAAATATTTCGGATATAACGAAGGGACCCTCATTGTCTGAGTTCCACGAACTGCATTTTTTATTCCTTTTTCAGTCGTTTCTTTAAATTACTATGAATATAGAAATAACTTTTTACAAAAGTGATATATATTCTGATAGCGTTTGTAATTTTCTATCACCCTGTACTTCGCCGGCCTTAACTTGCGATTAATTGCTGACAAATATTTCGAATATTGGTGATGTACCCACATATCACATTTCCATAGATTGCATTCCACGCTTCTTCACCTAACTCTTCTTTTCTTACAGACCACAAGAAAGAGCACGTACAGAAGTACAAAAAGAACTGTGTTCTCACTTTGCAACCCTTTTTTACGAGAATAATAGCAGAAGAAAACGATTCAAGTGGAAAAATACCACATTTTCAAAGTTTTCATTTTTTTCGCCTTTCGTATAATCTGCGTAGGTTTCTTGATTGACGTTCTGAAATCAAAGTTTAGGTATGGTTTTGTACAGTATTTCGCGACGCATGTTCTTAAGAAAAACATTAACCTTTGGGTCCTAAAAGAACACGAGAAAAACAGAACATATTGACGAGAGAATCTCTCGAGGTTATAAATCGCTTTTTGATCGAAATCTAGTGGGTTATAGGTTATCGACCATGCTGATCCCAAATATGATTTGGAATCTACCCCATGGTCGTTCGACGATACGGTTTTCGGAAAAACTAGTTTTTCAGAAACTTTAAAGGGTAACCAAAGCCTTTCTTAATAACCTATAATTGTAGCCGGAAAATTTCTGATCAAAATGAGACATCTCCCACCTCTACGCGACCTTTCTTTGCAAAATTATAGAATTTACAAGAAAAGCCCTAAATTAATTTCTTTTTTCTGTTGCTCTGAGCATTTAGGGCTTTTATTGTAAATTCTATAACTTTGCAGAGAAAGGTCGTGTAGAACTGGAAGATGTCTCATTTTAATCAGAAATTTGCGGGCTACAACTATGTCTCGTTAGCAAAGGTTTTGGTTATCCTTTAGAGTTTCTGGAAAACTAGTTTCCCAGAAAACCGGATCTTTGAACCACCATGGGCAGCTCCCATAATCATATTCGGAATCAGCATGGTCGATAACCTATAACCCACTAGATTTTGATCAAAAAGCGACCTCGAGAGGTTCCCTCGTGAGGGACCGCACCCGTTAAAATTCCTGGGAATGCGATAAGTGAGGGGCATTAACAATATTCAAAATTTTTGCCAGTAAATAATTTCGAATCCAGGCTGGGAAGCAGAGACTAATAGAGAATCTCAAGCGCTACCAGAATATATAATTATGTTTCGAAAAATATTTTTCTATATACATAATAAATGTAAAAAATCGACTGAAAACATTTATTTCCAGGCGGATAGTATCGAAACGCATTTGTCCTGCATCTAACTTCTTTCCCTCCTAAATAACTCAACAGAGTCTACGTCAAAAAACGAGTCTAATAACGTATGTTATGGCTTTTTATAAATATATATATTTTCTGCCAAAAAGTTTACTGGGATTTTTAGGGGTTCGAAAACAGTCAGAGCCTTTCAGTAAAGCAGTAGGATGATTTTTCGAGTCATTTTTAGCGTAGATTATATATATCACATTCTTTTTGTTTTCAATACTATATTGTTTGAGCTGTCGTTTTTAAATGTTTAACTTGAAAACAGCTGAAATATACACTAGAATATAATCCTTGAAATGACAAATCTAATGCATATATTGGTATCGAATTTGTTTTTTTTTGTAAAACACTTCGGATTGTTAAAAGATATAAAAAGATCTTTTTCCATCAAAAATAAGAACGAGACTAATGTGACTCAGAATTCTCTCTTCCAATTTACGCCCTTTTGTTTGACTGCCTATGCACGCTTTTACCACATATCGGCATTTCCGAAAACATCAGAAACTAATCTGAGAGGCAGTATTACACGTCACTGCGTAGTAAATGTGCTGTCGAATAGGTTATCTGGGACAATAAGACATAAGTAACTTGCTCAAGATTATTACATCACGCGCCGACTCTGAGGATCAAGCACAGTACCTTTGAAATAGTTAACAAACAACATAAGTATCAAGTGTTGCTGACAACTACCAGTATGAATTTTCGTTAACCACATCCTAGTAACTCGGATTACCTGTTCAACAGCATAGTGCGTTGTGACAATATATAGCTCCTCCAGCCATACCAATAGTAAGCGTTGTTTTACAGTACAGTATATTGTATCTTGTATCTTGTCTTTTGATAAAATAACAGTGGTTAACGCTTTAATAAATATAATTAAGGTCCCATGTAGGATAAAAGTGTTTCATATAATGTCATTTGTTGAAGATAGAAAAAACTCCAATAACTTTTCTTTCTAATTTAATACTGAAATAAGACAATCTGTCAATAAAGTCTTACACAATAACAAGATAAGTAAGGACTATAACATCAGTTTCAAACATCAGCAATTACATTAATGGTATCAATCGGAAATCTGCTAGAGCCAATTGCAGTTATTGGTCTTTCATGTGCATTTGCTGGTGATATTAATTCCCCGGATGATTTATGGAATGTTTTAAAAGATAGTGTTAATGTTAATTCAGAAATTCCTAAAGAACGATTAGATTTGGAATCTTATGTTTATGATCGCCTTACGAATGATCCATTATTAAAAGATACTTTAATACATCGTGGTTATTTTATGTCAACGGATAATTTAGATAAATTTGATCCTGGCTATTTTGGTTTAACAGATAATGACACTTTGTTACTTGAGCCTGGTCATCGTATTTTACTACAAAAATTTGTACATCTTCTGGATGATGCTGGTTATACAATAGATCAAATACGTGGTACAAATACATCGATATACATTGGACAATTTTCTAGTGATTTCCAGCGAGTAATAAGTCGTCAATCAATTGAACATCGTAAACGTTTAATGGACGTGTTTTCGGGTTTATTTAATGCATCAGCCAGAATAGCTTATCATTTTGATTTACATGGCCCCAATGCAACAATTGACACTGCTTGTTCATCTTCTTTGCAAGCCATTCACATTGCTTGTCAAACGCTGCGAAATAACGAAGCAGATTATGCGGTAGCAGGCGGCATCAGTGTTCATTTCGCACCAGATATGTTTTATGGTTACTCATTAATTGGTGCCGTATCGCCCGATGGTCGTTCACGCTCATTTAGTAATGATGCAAATGGTTATGGAAAAGGTATGTTCAACGATTGAATCTCGAGAACGTATGAATTTGTGTTTAAAAAAACATTGTGAATCTCTCTGTTTTGATTCCCTTCTTAAATCGTAAGTGTAGGTGAATTATATAAAGAATGAAATATCTATTAAAATAACATTTTTCAAACAGAACTTATTTACTGTTTCCTGATTTTTCAATCGTACGACTGTATTCGCGCTGAAGTTTTTATGAGAAAAATCTGAAAGGGAAAAAAATATTAGTCGGCTAACGAGGTATCTTCCGGACGAAACGTGTACTTTAACTATCAGGCCATAAACCTTCATAAGCTGTATGTTAATTGATGCATTCTAAATATAATCGGAAATTGAATTTGTTTAAAAACAAGACCAATATAAGTTAGTCATACTATTAATAGTTGTAAGAAAACACAAAAATTAGAGATGTCAGTTGCTCGATTTTTCCACTTTAAAAAGTAATTCAATTATTTTGATACGTGATCCAAGGCTTGTAACTCCCCCTTCATAACAGAAGATCATCCCTCATCAAAAGCTCGTTGTTGATTCTATAACAGGAAAGTCAACTGGAAGGCCATGGTCGTCTATTTCTGATAAAAACCAGTATCAGCAGAGACCATTTTAAAAACAGGACTAAAATGAAGTGCCTATATTTCACGATATTCTAGGAGATGAGTCCTATGCAACCATAAAACGTCGCGCAATGGATAGAGAAGGATGGAGGAAATGGATGCCTCGAACCTGCCCTAGGGCAGAACACTAATGATGATATTTCACATAAATTTTAGACAAATCATATCAGTGTATTTTATTGTGAGATATTGATCAGCCTGATGAATTGAAGCTCGTGAATTATCAAACAAATTTTTCTTAAATATCTTATTCATAAAGTTTCCTTCATTTTACCTATTGATTGATACTTTGTAGCATCTCTACTCAATGCGTTTATTATCAGTTGTTTAAACCTGTTTTCAGGTGAAGGTTGTGGTTTAGTCTTCTTGAAACGTTTGACTGATGCTGAACGAGATGGAGATCGTATTTATTGTTTAATTCATGATATTATATCGAATCACGATGGGCAAAGATTTAAAACAGGCTATACTGCACCTACGGAATTTGCACAAAATTTGCTGCTCAACAAAATTTATTCAAGGAATCCTCAGATTGATCGAAATGATATATTTTATGCTGAAGCACATGGCACCGGAACGCAAGTGGGGGACCCAATTGAAGCTAATGCACTTGGTCACTTTTTCAATCGTACTCAATTTGATTCACCATTATTAATTGGTTCAGTGAAATCAAACATAGGACACACGGAAGGTCAGCGAGTGTGTTGCATCTTTAATTGGAGTTTACTGATATCTAGTTTACTTTTAGGTGCAGCCGGCGTGGCCCCTTTAATCAAAGTAGCTTTGTGTATGAAACATCGTTTAATACCTCCACAGATGCATTTCAAACAACTAAATCCAAAAATTCGTGCCAGACAATACAATTTACATGTGGTTCAACATTTGACACATTTTCCATCATCTTCTCATATTTCTACATATCGACCAGTTTTAATTGGAATTAATTCATTTGGAATTGGTGGTAACAATGCACATTGTATTGTACAGGAATATTTGCAACCACCCTCACAAGGTCTTCAGAATGGGCATACAAAAGACGAAATCGAGGAACAATATATGGTTTTAATGTTCTCATGTATGTTAATAATTACAGAATACTTCTTCACACACTAAATCCTATATTTTATTGTTTGTTTTCAGCCAAATGTCAAAAGTCATTGAAAACACATATTCAAAAGTGTCATCATTGGCTATCGAATATACTGATGGGAAAAGAAGAAGAAGAAAAGAACTTTTTAATTCAGCTATCATATAAACTATTATTCCATCGAACACTTTCATACTCTCAACGGATATCGTTTGTGTTCAAGGATCAGCAGGAATTGCAACAACAATTACTGTCATTTTTATCGGATAAGAATTATCGAAGTGGTGTTAGTACATGGATCGATCAAACGGATCAATACAATGAAAAAACGATTTGTTTTGTCTACAGTGGCCAAGGTCCCCAGTGGTGGTCAATGGGTCGGCAGTTGTATTATACAGAACCAATTTTCCGTCAGTGGATTGATCGAATAGACTATGAACTGAAACAAGTAACACACGACTGGTCATTATTAGATGAACTGATTTATACTAAAGAAGAACACCAATCCCGTATCAATGATACAAACATTGCTCAACCATGTTTATTTGCACTACAAGTGGCGCTCACTGCTCTTTGGTTATCATGGAATGTCTACCCGAAAGTGATTGTTGGTCACTCGGTTGGTGAAATAGCCGCGGCTTATATCAATGGTCATTTCACACTGAAAG